GAAGAAGAAGGGGGGGAAGTAGGTGACATGTTTTGAGTGTGATATCTTGTAGATAGGCGCAATTGAGCGGATCATCCCACAATCGCGAGCAATAGATCTAAGGCGTGTAAAAGGGCGTGTGGTCTTATAGATAGACGCAATGGATCTGAGGCACACACGAAGGTGTTTGATCTTGTAGACAGGCACCATGGAACCGATCACCACACAGCCGCAAGCAATGGATTTGAGGCGCGCACGAGGGCTGCTGATTTTTCGCGAACAACTAAATCACACAACCATGACTCCGATGCCCGGTGTGCACACAAGCCCAATCAGTTCAGTCCATCACACGCACCCGCCAACCGAACACGCTTAATCGCCACCACCAACAGCACGGGCTGCAAACGATCAGTACTCGAATCGCATCAGCAAGGAAAGAAAGTACGCACTGTAGACGCGCATCCGCGCATGGCCCACGACCTGCTTGATCAAGCCCTTCTCCTCGAGATCCTTCAGCGCCTGGCGCGCGAGCGAGCCATTGATCTTGAGACGATCGACGAGCACGGCGACTGTGATCAGGCGGTAGGACTGGACATCCTTTTGCAGCTTCTCCGAGGTGGTCTTGTCGAGGATCACGGCGTGGTTGGCCTTGTCCTTGACTGTGTGGGTGTTAGCGGGTTGCGATGCGGTAGATTGGAGGCGACGGTGGGCGACGTACCCTTGCCCTTGGACCACTTCTTCTTCTGCTTCTTGCCTCCGGTTGCTGCGGGTGCCTGTTGCTGTTAGTTTTGTGAGGGGATGGGGGGGTGGTGAGGCCGTACCATGTTGATGATGTGTGTGGGCAAGTGGTTGACGGGAGGTTGTGAGGTTGGCCGCTGTGCGTGAGGTTTGGCAAAATGGCGGGTGAGAGGGGAGGGGCGAGGGAGGAGGGGATTGGCTGGCGGAGCGAGCGAATAGTTGATCAAGAAAGCGGCAGGGGTCAAGCCACGTCTTTGTGCCTAGGGCTACTTGAGAAGTTATTCCCCTAAAAAGCGCAACTTCAGGCCAAGGTGAAGTCTATGACTTTTTTGGCCAAGGCCTCGAGCGTTTTGGCGAAGGAGTTTTTCGCTCCGAAGCGGGGATAGAAACGACATCGCTCCGGTCACAAAGGGCGGGAGTACATACATGAGTGTTAGTCTGTCCTCATTGAATAGTCAACCCTTCCCGACGCAGATTTTCGAGTTGTATCTGCCTCGCCGGACGACGTCGAGGATATCCCGCACACGCGCCCCGTTCAACAGGTCGCCAGTGCGGCGGCGCTCCTTCCAGGCTTCGGGATAGCGCGCAGTAGCAATTCGCTTTGCATCATGGTTGTTGTGACTTGAAGCCCGCTGTTCATGTAGACAAACACCACCTTGTCTGGGTGATCCGGCACGAAGCTTATCTACGACAACTTTTGTACGCTTGTCTTGCCGGAGCGCCTGGACAAGGCAGTGTTTGTCTACATGAACGGCGGGCTTCAAGTACAGCAACCATGATGCAAAGCGAATTGCTACTGCGCGCTATCTTGAGGTACCCGGCCTATGATCCGAACGTCGTGCTCCACAGTGGTCTGTTTACTGCATTTCTGATGGGCGCAAAGTCACTCACGATGTCAATCCAAGCGAGATGGTCGAATTAGAGAAGCCCTCATCCCACTCAGATGGTTTTGCAAACAAGCTAATCAGAGGCCAGTGAAGTCATGGCGAACGTCGGATCGCAGACTGCTTAGACGACTGGAGGCTGTAGATACGGAACTACTGCGTCGTTCAACCCTTCTCCCCGCCCCTCGCTATTGAAAGTCCCTTTGCAAAGGTCAGGGCGTGGGTTTTGAACACTCCTGCTCAGGGTTCTCTCCGGTATCATGGGGACCGAAGCATATATCCGCAAGATGGATGAAGTCGTCCAGGCGCCGACCTCTAATTGAATGAAGTTTGTTGAGCTTTCCATGGGCTCGTCGTTCATTGTGGCATGACTTGTCACTCGGGCCAGTGCAATTTTCATTGTCAATTTTGCTCAAGTGCTTTCTTGCATCTCACGAACAGCTTCCTGCGCAGAGACATCCACGATACCTCAATCTTCTCACACACTTCACTCCCATTGAAGTCTGCTCGCAACTTCAGCGATCCTCACTGACTTACGATGTCTCTCTCTCAATCCATATCCCTCACTAACCGTCGATTTCCCTCACTATCTCCGCTTTCACGGATCACTCTCCATTCGTCCAGCATCATCCACAAAGCCCGTTGTTCCTCCACCCTTTATCACTAATAAACTCACTATTTGATCAAGATGGCGCATTTATCAACCCACGCTTCCTCCCGCATCCAAATCTCGGACACACCTCGAACCTCAACGACCTTTTTGAGAATCTGGTATTCTCAAATCACACTTACAGTCTAGGTTCTCAGCGTATGACATCTGCCGCAGTTCGAGGTCTATACAGTCCCGCTCTCCCCAGCAAGATGGTTAAACGATCCGCACTCCCGTGGGGGGGCATGCCGCTGCTGGCCAAGGTGCTATCCCACCAGCCACCACCTTCAGTTGTCGGCTCTTCAGAATGGGATGCGTACGCCGACTCCGTGAAAAGCGATATCCGCGACCTGCCCGAGTGTCTGCGCGAACACGTAAGCACGATCAGCAAGATGGCCAACAAGGTGATCGACCCCGACACCCGCGCCCACTACCGCGAGTTCTGCCCGCTGCACCAGAAGCTCAACCGCACCATCGTCTGCTGCATCTGCTACGCCATCCGCAGCGAAATCGACACCAACATTCCCGCGATGGTCCACGCCCTGGCGTCCAAGAACCTCCTCGCGGAAAGCATCCGTCGTGCCTTCGTCGAACTGCGTCAATGCTGTTCCATGTGGTGGCACGACGGCAGATACAAGAATTTCCTCGGCGAAGCCCCCAAACCAAAATGGGCCTTCCAGACGGACAAATGCGCCGCCTGCATCCTCGCGCGCATCGGCTCCGATCCCGCCATCATCGTCCCCCTCGCCGCCGGCATGTCCGCCCGGGCTCCCCGCTCGGGCCGGCGTCAAGCATACGTCGACGCGCTATTCAGCAACTTCCCCGAAGCGCAGGCCACAGCGTTGCGCATGCAAGCCGCCACGCTTGCGACGCAGCTGCGCAATGTCCTTGGTGAGTATATCTGTGCGCAACGCGGCGAGGCGCTTGAGCCCATTACTGATCCGCTGACAGGCGAAATCGTCACCGATCCCTCTGTGTTCGAAGGCGAGGCCCCGCCAGCGCGCGGCCCCAGCCTCGGCCCGTCGCCCCGCCGCGAGTCCGTGTCCGTCGCCGATTCCCCCACCGCGAGTGAGTATGAGCACCCGCGTGCGCGCTGGCCGAAGCACGTCACGCATGTCTCGTCCCGGCCTGGGTCGGTGAGCAGCATGCGGAGCACGGTCACCGTCACGCCGAGCGAGTTCCTCGGGCCGAAGACGGTGTACAGTCCTTCGGTATACGACTCGGATAGTGAGACTAACCGCTGGTGGAGGCCGGCGCCGCCGGATTCCGCGCGTGGCAGCGGCGAACATGAGGATCTTTACGCTGACATCGACGATATCATCGATGAGTATCGCGCAACGGTGCCCCTTGCCGGTGCTCATGTCGAGGGTGTGGCGGACGACACATCGGAGATTAGCGACCCGCGTGGGCGCCGCACTGAGACCGAGGGCCGAGGCGGTGTGAAGGAGACGCTCAAGCGCGCATTTAGTCGCAGCCGCGTCAGCCAGGCGGTGTTGCGGGTTGATACTCGCCGCGCTCAGAGGAACCGCGACGACCGCCGGGCCGAAGGCGCTCAGAACGCCGGGCCATCGACAGCGAAGCCAGGTCTTCTCGGGAGTGCCACGCTGCGCAATATTCTTCCCAGGAGCAAAAGAGGTAAGGAGAGTAAAATCACGACGCCAGTGACCGGGTCCGGGCCAACGGCATCCGAGACCCGGTGCAGGTTCGCACCTGACAGCCCCGAGCCCCGCGGATATGTCCCCAGTGAACTCGGAAAGCCCGGTGCTGCGGAGTGGGCGCAAGACTATCGCCGCCAGTTGGCTGCCACGCCTACCGAGAGGGAATTTGGCAGGCGCCCTGGCAGTAGCAGTTCTAGTGTCTACTCCAAGGTGACTAGGTGGAGTAAATTTGCGGGTCCCAGTAAGTAAACTTTCCTTCGTCGCTGGTCGATGAAGAGATCGAGAGGTAAGTCAGTGCTCTTTTTCCTTTGTCTTAAGCGGCATTGCCTTGGCGTAGTGTGGAAACTACATAGCGCTTGCTTTGTGCGCATATGGATAATGGAGTTTAGAGCGCTTTGTGGCAGAGACTTACTGAATAATCGGTAGGTCGCTGCTGTAGTCATTGAGAATAAATACAGTCATTACCGAATCATTGACGTTCTAGATTGTTGTGAAGCAAAGTTGGGAAAAGTGGCCTGCCGTCGTCATGTGAAGCTGAAATGAGGTAGTCATATGGATAATGAAGTTTGGGTCGTCGTTGTGGGGGCCGACTGAATAATTGTTAGGTCGCTGCCGTGGTCATCGAGAAGGGTTACAGTCATTACCGCACCATCTATGTTCTTGATCGTTGTGAAGTCAGGTTGTGAAGTCAGGTTGTGAAAAGTGACCAGACATCATCGTGTGCACCTAGAGCCGGGTAGTCATATGGATGATGGAGTTTGGCTAGTTCTAGTCGTTGTGGTGGTTTATTGAATGATCGATAGGTCGCTGCCATAATCCTTTAGAAGGAATACAGTCATTACCGAGCCATCTACGTACTTGATCGTAGTGAAGGGAGGTTGTGACAAGTGACAAGCCATCATCATGTGAAGCTAGAAGCCGGGTAGTTCAGCTGCTCTCATCCACACCCTAACCCGAGCCCTAACCCGAACCCTAACCCTGATCCTCACCAGCATTAGCGGCAACAATAGTACTGCCCGACTCAGCCCGTTTCATTGCAAAAGCAACAGGGCACACCGCCTCATCGGCAAAAGCAAAAAGATACCCTCGAATCGACTCCGTAGGGATTCGAACCCTAAACCTCTGGTGGTAATCTCAGTGCAAGAACCGAAAACCAGCGCGCTGCCATTGCGCCACGAAGCCCGATTTTTCTGGGGTGCTGAAGTGACCGACTTTTGGTCCCTTACGAATATAATCAAACGCCATTGGGCGTGAGGAGCAAGACGCACAGCATAATGCAACCGTTTGCGTTTTGGTGTGTCGAGGTGAGTAATGGAGCACGTGCTTATGGTTTCTGCTTTGCACGTGATGATGGTTTCTGCTCTGCACTTGATGAATCTGTTGAAGACATGCGGAGGAGGAAAGCGAGGAGAAGTTTTGAGAGATTTCAGACATGAATTGTGCGCTCGCTCCAACAATCGGGGCCGACCCGCCAACCGCCACTCAACGCGCGGTACCAAACACTTTCCACGAGGCTGCAAACCAGCCTCACATCCCCAGCCTGAAACCCCATCACCAAAACCCCAACATTCTACACACCCCTCCCACCATCAATCTCCAGATTAACCCCCGTGATAAACTTCCCCTCATCACTCGCTAAAAACAGCGCCGTATTCGCCACGTCATTCGGATCCGTCAACCGGCCCAATGGGACGTTTCCAATGAACTTCTCCCGATTCTCCGGTGTGTCGGGTACGCCGACAAACGACTCGAACAGTCCAGTGCCCGACAGCAGCGGGGCCAGAGAGTTGATCCGGATGTTCTGCGGACCGTATTCGGCGGCGAGGCCTTTGGTTGCCTGTGCATGTCAGCGACGGGGAGTGGGGAGTACTCGTAGGGAAAAAGAAGCGACGTACATTCGTAACTGCCGCCTTGCTAGCATTGTACCACACCAGCCCCGGCCTAGGCCTCACACTCCCAATGCTGCTCACATTGATGATACTCCCTCCACCATTCTTCTGCATCGTCGGCACCGCCGCGCGAACAGACAAATATACGCTGCGCACATTGACCTCGAACACGCGCGTGAACTCCTCGGACGTGACATCGAGTGTCGGCTACACAAATCCCATTAGCACCCTCCACAAAAATCCCCCACGGCCCGCCTACCTTATTCCGGTACGTCGTCCCCGCATTATTAACCACAACATCCAAGCGCCCCCACCGCTCCATAACTATTCCCACCGCCTTCTCCCAGTCCTCAGCACTGGTGACATCCATGCGCAGCGCGACGGCCTTGCCGCCTGCACTCAAGATGGAGTTCGCGACGGCGGTCGCCCCGTCGGCGTTCAGGTCGCCGATTAGTACTGCGGCGCCTTCTTCGGCGAAACGGATTGCGGTGGCCTTGCCGAAGCCGGAGGCGCCACCCGTTATTATGGCAGTTTTGTTTTCGAGACGGGGAGCCATTGTTGATGTGTTCGGGAAGCGGAGTGGAATTGAGGGTTTGGAAGAGGTGTGGCTAAAGATTATGTGCCGCTTTTATATGCTTGCTGATGACGAAATTACTCACTGGTGGGACTACGCGGGGTAATGCGGGGAGCGCGTTGGCGGGGTTTATTCCCGGCGGGGGTGAGTGTCCCCGAACCATTATCGCCGGGCTGCGGAAGAGCATGTCCGTGGTGGGGCGGTACGTACTCGTGGTACTGTATCGGCTGCTTCGTGATCAGATAACATGGAGGGATGGTGGAGCCCTATGGAGTCGCATACTAAGCTGGGTAAAAATGGATTGGCGTGTCAAGTGCGGGTATAGACTTGGTGCTTACTTCGTAGGCGTCACTGGCAAGTGACAGGGTAGCCTAACGTACCGGCGATAGGCTATAAAAGATAGCCGTTTCCCATGAACGGATCCTTAAGAACTATCGCTGCCAGGTCAAGTACCGGGCATGATCGGAGCAGCCGTGGCAAAGTGTCTCCCGAAACCTATCCTCACCACCACCTAACCATCAAACGACCGCGGGTATCATACCATCCTCCCAAAAGCTAATGGTGCTTCAACGAATCCAAATAACTCAACACCCGCTTCTTAATCACAAACCCAACAAGACGCCCCGTGCCCTCCTCCGTAACACACAAATACCTAACCCCCAACTTCGTAAAAATCTCCACCGCCACCTCCATCGGCGCCTTCGCGCAAATACTCACCGGCGCCCTATCCACAAAAACGCTGAGATCGAACTCGCCCTCCACCGTCGCATACCCAAGTAACCGCACCTCAGCATCCGCTCCAAACCCAGCTCCAAGCTCCTTGAGCCCATAATCGAGCTCGTTCTGCGCCATGTACCCCTGCAGCACCCCGCCATGCTGCACAAGCACCACACCTCCATCCATGAGCCCGCGCCGCTCGAGGAACCCAAGCTTTTCCTCAAGTACGCGTCGCGCGACTTTATTGCTCGGCGGCACAGCGATAGTGAGCTCAGCCATCGTCTCCGCAGGCGGGATAAGCTGTTCAACAAACGCACCCTGCGTCTCCACTAGCTCCATCGCCTCGTCAGCATTGAGAAACGGGTGTCCCAGGACTGATTGCGCAAGGTCGTAGATGCTCTCCTTGCTCAGCAAATCGGCGGTCCATTTCGCGCACAGGATGGCAATCATGTGCGGGAGCACGTACTCCAGCTCGCCCGTGAGCTCGAACATGATCACGCAGAGGCTGATCGTCATGCGCGTTACGCCGGCGAGGAAGGCGGCAGCACCGACCATGGCAAAAATTCCTGGTGAAATGTGCGTTCCTGCGACCCATTGCCCGATTAAGCGCCCGAAGAGCGCGCCGCCGTCTAGCGCCGGAATGATGATGCCGGCGGGGACCTTGAGCCCGAAGGTTATGGTTGTGGACGCGAGTTGCACCAGCGTACCGTACGCGAGCCATGCGACGTAGGTGCCGCGGTGCGGGGAGGCCTCACTGTCGCACACCCAAGACGGATGATCGCCGATGGACTTGCAGTCTACGAGTAGATTGCGGATGATGGCATCCCCAGGGGCGCGCGTAGCGGGGTTCGGAAATTGCAGCGCAGCGGTAACAAGGATGATCAGGAAGACCTCAAAGACGGGGTTGTTGCGAATTATCGAATGCTTCCGGAACCACCGCGCCCACAGATAGTTGGCATTGGTGAAGGTGCCGCCCCATAGACCGCCTGCAATTCCGATGAGGACGAACACGAGATAGTGGTGCGGCTGGTAGCTGGTGCCATAGTTGGTCTCGAAGAGCACGAGTTTGCCGGTTTTATGCGGGTTGAGCGCGCGCAGTGTCATGGCGGCGACCATGGAGCAGAGGAATGTGCGCCATAGTACTTTGCGTGGAAAGTAGCAGCTCAGTTCCTGCGCTGTTAGACATGTTAACACAGTATGCGTGACATACCTCGTATGCAAACAGTACGCCTCCAATCGGTGCACCAAATGCTGCACTTAGCCCTGAGGCGCAGGCCGCAGTAAGAATCTCGCGAAACTGCTTTCCATTCTCTTTGTACTTGGGAAATAGGTTCGCAACAAAATGCCCGAGGCAGGCGGCCATGTGTACAAAAGGGCCTTCTTTACCCAATGCCATACCTGTAGCAACGGAGAATACGGCGCCGATGCCCTTGAGAAAGAGGACGCGGAGATCCAAGAAGTGAGGAATGACAAACCCGGCGAGAATGGTCTACGAAGTCAGAACCCACAGAGAAGTGGAAAATGACATAAACCTACCTTGATTTCGGGAATTCCAGAGCCAGCAGACATATACATCGACTTGCCAGTCTGAGTGGAGCTCACTGGCAGGTTGAACTTGGGGTTGTCGTGGTGCTTGTCGCCATGGCCCGGCGCGGATCGGGGTAGAGAGCGCTTCGAGAACATGGTAATGAAGGACGAAATAACGCCAAACAGCACCGCCCATGCCACGTAGATACCGAACTGAGGGCCGAAGGATGTGGACCACAGCGTAAACTCTTTGCATTGGCCATCCTCATCCTCCGCACCGGCCGAACGACAGCACGCCTCGCGGCTGAGCAGCGGATTCAGCGAACAGTATCCAAACTTGAGATCCGAGACCGTAGCCACAGCGAGGTCAACCGCACAGGCAACCAGCGCCATCAGCACGCCGATGAGGGTGACGGCGATCCATCCAGAGCAGGCATCGAAGGCGGCAAAGAGCGATCCGCGGATGCCAGGCTCGCCATGGATCGCGCGACGGCGGTATGCCTCTTTGATCTGGAATGTTAACCTCCCGTCCCAAATGACGACAGACGGCCGTAGCTCACCAGGTCGTGCAGCCAGTCGATGGTTGTGTAGTCGTTGTACGGCAGACGTTCCCCAACGGCCGTTGCCGCGAGTGCACCTTCCTCCTTGGAGATTGCGGAGCGCAACGAGCGGGCGTCATCATCGGCATGGAGGCGAGGATAGAGCAGATGGGTACGCTCTGTGGGATGATGAGCCATTGTTATGATGCTTGCGTGCCTGGCGCGATCCCTGCGAGTCAATGAGGGATCAGCGAGATGCAGATGACTTCATTCTCCATCGTGCGGCGCGGGCCGTCTGATAAGCAGATCGGATGCTGGGCCCAGGCTGCGAACGCCTTTCGAATGCCCTGCAGCAGCTGAGGGCTGAGAGGCAGCTTTTGGAGATAGGCGAGGGGGCTATCTCGCGACGCCATGGGAGTGATTGGTGGGAGATGCATGTATGCGTGGGGGAATAGCGGTATATACACGGGGACAAAATGCCCTCACACAGTGGCCATTTCTGTTTTGAGACGTGAGTTACGCCGGGGTGTAACGTGAGCTGTTAGTAAGCAACTGAGCTGTGGCTGAGCACTCATGAGCTCGTCCTGAGCGAACGTGAGCCGGCGTGAGCCGGCGTGATCGTGCTTGATTCAAGCCTGAGCCTCTCTGATTGTGCCTGATTTTATCCCTGAGCAGCATGAAGAGGGTCTGAAATTGGGCCCCAATCAGCTCGTAGGGATATGGGGTGTCACAGACTGACTGGTCCCATTTTCGGGCCCCAGTCATCTGTGGCTTAGCTCTTCGACCCCCTGTACCGGTAATACTTTCCTTTGATCTGCAGTCCTCAAGGCGGCCTAAATAATTCGATTCGCATACAGTGTCGGCAAGCGAAGTGAGAACTGTGGGTCGATTATTACGAGTGAGTTCAGCTAGCGGTACATAATGATCTTTGTAGCT